ACACACACACACACACACACACACACACACACATTCATAAAAATGACATGTAAATGCATACTAATTTACATATATTCAGTGTATATTTATATTATTTAGACAAAGTGTATGCAATGTAAACTATCTTGAGTTACTTATATAATTTAAATTTGCATATATACACACACACACACACATATATATATATATATATATATATATATATATATATATATATATATATATATATATATATTTGTATATCAAACATTGATTTTAGGTTATCCAAACAAATTTCAAGGTCCTATGAATATGTTTGTTTTACAAGTTTGTCCTGATTACATATCTTTTTCAAGTGATGGAGCTTATTGCTGTTCCCATAATTGTGAATAGAAAATCAGACTAAAAAACATTTTACATATAGCAACTGGATTGCAATGAAAAGATACCAAATATTTCACAAGAGGACACCATTGCAAAAGCAACAGTCTAACATCAAGAAAGTTAAGGCCAACAATTAAGAAACTTATCAACCAAAATGACACTTCATGTATATTAAAAAGTAAATCCAATCCATCAAATTGTTTTCCACAAGAGTGTTAAAAAAAAGTAATTCCTGTTTCTAGCCCAATGTTAACAGAAAAAGCCACTAGTTTCCATGAATTAATCCACAGCAATGAAATACAACAACAGTTTGATCAGTGTATAGCAATGAGCTGGTTAAAGCATTTCAAAGAGTATAATGACATCAGACATTTTTATGTTCTTGGAGAGAGAAGTCTAAGAATAAGAACATCATGGAAGAATTCAGACAGAAACAACAATCTATCACTGATGAAGAAAATTATAAATTTGAACAATTGTGCAATGCTGATATTAGATTGGTTGTGTGCATCGTCAAAACCAAAACTTTTGTCCCCCCCCACACACTGCATCACATATGCCCACAAAAGCAAAAAGGATCAAAAAAGGATCAATTTACATTTTTTTTTTTTTTTTTTTTTTGTGTGTGTGTGTGTGTCAACCATACTGAATCTATAAACTGCCATTTGTCTATATTGGGCATTATGAACTAACATGTTACTTCAAGAACTCTTCTTCCATGAAGTAAAATTCACAAAGTATGGTATGGATGACATATCCATTTTTATTTTTTTTTTATTTTTTTTTTAATTCTGGTTTCTTTAGGAATTTGTATATATCATCCAATCCCTCTTTCCTCTGTAGCTATATAGTGGGACAACTGTTGGAATCTGTGTTCTTTGTTGTTTGCTGATGGTAAAATAGTAGGACTTTCATCTGAGAAAATCATTATCTTAACAAAAAAAAAAGTTAATACAATTTTCACTAGTCAAAAAAAATATTCTTACAATACCCCCGCCCCAAATGTTTCAGCTTTAAATAACCAACAAAGGGTTGATGAGCCATTAAAAAAATCCAAATCTGCCATCAAATGACATTTTGTCAATGTTGGAATTGCTGTTCCCTATTGTTTGCTGATGGTAAAATCACACAGTATGAAAAAAAACATCCAATTAAAATCACCAGACAGAATCGAGTGTTGTTTGTTTTTTTTTTTTTCCTTACAAATAATGCGGATAACCCTTCATTGCTTTTGTCACTCAATCAGAGAAAGATTAAAACAAAAAGGATTATCGCAAATTATCAAATCCTTCACACTGAAGGATGCTTTGTTCATGATTGCTGATTCTTGGGATGGCATCAAGTTATCATCACAAAGTATTAGTACAATGGCTGTTGCTGGCCATGACAGTGGAGTAGACACTTATCTATTAAGTAAGTGGTCAACAGTTGTTATGAAGTGGAAGATTAACTCAGTGAAGCATTTTCATTAAATGTTATTGCTGGCAAAACAAAAGAAACCCAAGTACCTTAATTAAAAGCAACTGGATATTTCCCTTAAAGCAATGATCAATTGTCACCTCCGTGAACTTTATTTTCATGAATTGTCTCAAACTCTGTGGACTTCATGTGAATTTAGTTTTTTAGATGATTATCTTGATTCCTTGAATTTTTTTTCCCTTATTTAATTGATAGATTACATGATTTTTTTTGTAAAGTATTCTATTTTTCTTGCCCTTTTTAATTCATTTTAGTAAGTTGAATGAAAAGCAAATCTTTTAAACCTTCATTTTTGTGTGTTTAATATATGACTCCCCTTATGGTTAGATCAATTATCCAAACAAATAACCATGTACTGATCTGGGCTTACAGTTCTTGAAACATCAGTTCTCATATGATCACCAAAGTTGAGCAATATCAAGCCTAGTACGTAGATGGGTGACCGCTTGGGAATATCAGTTTCTGTTAGCTTTGGATGTGTGAGTAGTTTAGAGGATAATGGCTTGGAATTGGAAGGTTTAATTCCAGTCAGGTTTGTTATATTCACTTAAGCCACTTAAGCATAAATACCCTTGGGAAAGGTATGAATCTGCCTCTTCTCCCCCCCAAGCTATGGGTTAATTAGTAGGACATGTATCAGTAAAATAATTATCTCCCAAAAAATTCTTATCTAAAATATTTTATTGCTTTAAATAACCTACAAAAGCTTAAGTCATAAAAAACAAATTTAAAAAAAAAATTATTCTGATCTTTCAAATTTTATTATGAATGTCAATATTTTTACAATAAAACTGTTATTAGCCTACCATTGTTATTAAAACTTTAAGGATATACTTATGATTTTACTTTCTCTTTTTATGTACAACCTCAGGGTTTTTTCTTCATATTGAAAATAAATGTATAGTTAGTGATATATTTTTTACTTTCAGATATATAAACATTACCAATAACCATAAGAAAAGATAACCTTAAAAAAAAAAAAAAAGAAACAAGATATTGTAAAGTTATTTCATAATGGAATACAATTTTGGAAATTGGAAAGTTTGAACAAAGATCATGGAACATTAAAAAAAGAAATTAAAAATATTATTTTCAAGAATAAGAAAAATACAACTGGCATTAAGAATATCACCAAAATAGTTCTGGGAAAAATTAAAATGGTAATATGTAAGAAAAATGAATTGACCAGCACAAAATATTTGAAGAAACTGGTGTTGGTAACATAAAGAGAAGATACATTAAGAATATTGATTAAAGGTGTGACAAAATTAAACTAATACAGATTCATGCTTATTGCTTTCATTCACACATTTCAGTATTTACTCACAGGTTTCACTGGAATGGCACTAGACAAATGTTTTATTATTGTCATGGCCAATATAGATCCATGCTTACTGCTTTCATCCATTCATCTACCTGTTATGATTGCTTTTAATCTATAAGCCCTTCTTAATCTGTTTTCTTCTATTTAATTGTTAGTTTTCATTTAACCTTTTTATTTATGTATTCAGCCATTTTGTCACAAAACAGTAACTTTTGTTTTCTGGTTTTTTTCATTGATTTTGCTCTTATTGCTTTCAAGCCATTTGAGTTTTTTTTTTTATTCCAATATTTTAAAATCTCCCTCTCTTATTTACTCGTGTTTTCATTTTTGTAACCTCTCTATTTTCTTTATAATGCAACAACCAACTTCTTTTGCTGCACTCTGTATTGAATTGCCTTCTCAAAGAAACTTTATTATCCTTTTCATTAACAGCTCTTGTTGAAGCTGTATTTCCTTTCAATTAACCAAGTCCAAAATGTCATTATTCTGCAAGCGTTCTCTTAAATGCAGATGAATATACATATTTAGAATGATATATTTATTTTAGAAATGTAAATTTACAAGTTGTTTCTTTTTTTTTTTTTTTTTTTACTTGATCTGTGCCAAGAATTTAAATAATTTGTTTGAGTATATTTCATGAATCAACTATAAAAAAAAAAATGAGACATATTTGTGATTTATTTATTTTCTGAAAAGTTAAAAAAAAATGTATGAATATTCATTATGTGTGGTGATTCCATAATTTTTGCCAGAGGATGTATATGATTGTAGGAACCCTATTGTTTTTTTCCATTGATCCTATTGTTTTTAACCTAATTTTTTTCTAGTATTTTATCCTTGTATCAATCATTTGAATTTTCTTGTTTCTAGAATGTTAAAGGATTATATATATATATATATATATATATATATATATATATAGTAACAAAAATCTTGGTAATGTGTATGGATAATCCCAAGGAGGATGAAATCCTGAGAGCTCAATGTTAAGTCAGAGTGAATAATTTAATTTAAAGGAAAACAGACCAATTTAAGTCTCCATTTGTTATAATTTATTTTACCAGAGAATTTTATTTTTCTCTGGATGTTCAGACTTCACATTCAAAGGTGAAACAAAAAATGAATTTAAAATTTACACTTTTGACAGGCAGTATTAAGTATTAGAAGGTGGTGAGGAATAGTGTGAGAGACATGGTCACATTTAGAGAGGGAAGGGAGATTTTTAAAATTTATTTTTATTACAATACTTAATATTGAGGAAGGAGGGGGTTATATTTCAAACAGGTTTGATTAAATGCAACTGGCAAGGTCTGTTTAATTTTTTTATTGTATTTTCCAGATATGACAAGTTCTAATTGTTTAAAGTAAAGAGATTTTTTTTTTTTAATATTCAGGAAGCTTCTTAAAGGGGGTCTGTAGAGTTCACTCCAGTTTCATCACCAAAGGATTGAATTTTGACTAAGTGGGGGCAATCTTTATCTCACAACATGAACAGATGTCTACATTGTATATTTTTTTATGATAACCAAGATTCTGTTTGCTTCTTGCAGACACTACATGGTTCTTGAAAATGACTGAGATTCAAGAATACTTGAACAAAACAACAGAACAAACATGAAATTTGTACAGTTTATCTACAATTTCAATCCCAACATACAACACCTATACAATAAAAAAAAAAAAAAAAAATTAAATCAACTACTCTTGTCAGTTTTATTTAATCCAACTTTGGAAATGTATATGCATTAAAGTTCATGATTAGTATAATCAAAGAAGTTTGATATATGTTAACCTTTCCATGTTATTTATATAAATTTGTCCTCTATCTTTGCAGCATTACTCTATTCCTTCTTCAACATCAAGTGGAGGGGCATATGCAACAACCTCTACACCAACCACATTAACTCCAACAAGCCTTCAGCAGGCTTTTATAGAACTCCAGTCTGTCCCTTCATCTTCATCAACTGACCCAAGTCATTCTTATGCAGGAAGTCACTCTGTGGACCCCTCCTTTTCACAATATGATGATTCATGTGATGAGGATTCATCGGCAGAACCAAGGGTTAACAAAATGGGGGCTAAAATCAAAGAAGAAAAAGTAAGAATGTGAAGAATTTTGTAATATTTGTCTTAGCTAAATAAATTAAAGAGAAGCAGATTTTGTCTGTTCTTCAAAGTTAAGAGAATTTACAATCAGATTTTATAATCAAGATTTTAATCTGCAATTAAAATCTCTGTCCATGGTGTTATGAAAACTCCAACCACTAACTTAAGCCTGATCAACTGCAATAAATATTTTTCTCTTAAGCTATTGTACTTGAGAATTGCACACATTTGCATAAAAATGAACAAAATATTAGTCTAGCTCAACACTATATTTACACTGTAAATTCAATATAAACTCTCATAAAGATGGAAATGAAAAAATTGTATTAAGTTTAAACTGTAAATTGAATACCCAAAATTCAACAATTTTGTTTCTATTTTAAAACTTGATTTTTCTCAAATTTAATATGGCCCAAAGAAATGAAGGTAATACAGACAAAAGTACACTATATATTTTTTTCTAAAAGAAATGCACACACTTGCTTAACCAAATCTTTAAATGATTTTTATAACTCTCCTTGCTAATCAAATCTAGTATTTCAATTTTAAGTTTCACTAAATAATCCCTGATTGTTTTGCTTTAGCCAAAATATTTCATTGATTATAAATTTGTATAAAAAATGTTATGCTTAACAGTTTACAAAGTAATTAAAATGAAAGACTTTGTGGGACATTTGTTTTTCCCTTAAGTCAGTATATCTTTGAAAAAGGTAAATATTATGATGATGGTAATAATCATCATTTATAATAGATTGTCATTTTTGCCAGAAACTGCTTCTTGAAATGTCGACTAGGTTAAAAAAAAAATATATATCCAGCAATTATGACATTTTTAAGCAGTTAATTCATTTCTTTTTCCAAGAGCAGTTGTGTGAAATGAACAAAACAAACTGTTAGAATTTGAATTAAACATACCAATTTCATTGTCCATTCCAGTAACCATTTGACTATCCCCACTTCAGTGATAAGAAAAAAGACAACGCTTTACCAACATATACCAGTTTTAAATACAGTCAACACTAAAATAATCCATACTGAAAGAAAAAAACTAAAAACGTTTTCTACTTTCAATACATTGTTAATATATATCTTATTATGATTATGACTTTTTTGTAACCTTATCTTCCTGTATCATAAATCAATGAACTTTTTGTTCAAAAGTAATGAAAAAGACATTAATTTGTTTTAGTTCTTGAAAAATGTCAAGCTAAACCAAAAATTTAATTTTACCATATACACAATAAAGGTAAAAAATTAATATTTTAGCAGCTTTATTTTTCAATTTGCTAATGATGTAATTGGATAGTACTTATGTATTTTTAATGCATTTAACAGTTTATATCTATAGTATAACATTCAAATTTATAAATAAACAAAAACAAATTGTAGAAGGCTCCACAATGTTCTAGAATGCTCCAAAAAGTCATAGTACTACTCTACTTATATATGACTTTAGAACTTTCATGTTGGGTGTGACATTTAAAAAAAAAAAAAAAAAAAACTGAATTAAACCCATCTTCATTATTTGTTATTAAAACCTCATCAAATTATGATACAGGAAATCAATTATTTTACAAAAAGTCATAACCCTAATATTTTATATGCTAAGAAATATGAGACAAAAAAAGTCTGACAAAATGGGCTTATATTTGAAGTTAATATTTTGCCAATTTTTACCAACTTCAACATCCATGTTTTAAAAAAAAAAAAAAAAAAAAAAAAGGCAACAAAATATTTGGAGTAAATTGCTTTACAATGAAACACAGTTTTACTTAGATTTTAGAAGCATTTACAGAATATTTTTAATATTCAGTCTTTTTATATATCTTTTTTACATTTTATATATGTGAGTAGACAGCTAATTAATTTTTATTTATTGAATGTCCCAATATATAATTATCAAATTCACTATACAAGGCCTTAATAACTCTGAAAAAATGGATTTACTTGTAGGATGTTAAGTGGTTTCTAAGTTTCTATGGTATGCATTTCATTAAATTTTTATGTTAAATAAAATTCTGTAACATTTGGAAAATGGTTCTATTGTTGTCAGTTAAAAGGAAATGAACAAAAATTCAGGAAACTTGTTGAAACTTTTATAAAATGAATAAAATGGTAAAAACATCATTGCGTAATAGTTGTGAAACATAGATTATAAACTAAATGGCACTTAAAAATGTAAAAATATTCAAACTTCATAAAAATATCCTCCATTTATGGAAATTTAGAAAATTGTGCCCTCTGAAGATGGGTTTGGTTATCTGCATCAACTTTGCCCATTTCTTGGATATAAAATAACAGAGTAGTTTAAATTCAGATTGGCATAAATGAGTATATATGGTAAATGTTAGGTTTTGATATTTGTTTAGTAAATATTGATGTTATGTGTTACATCTTTGATAATATTATCAAAAGGTTTTGCCTTTTTAATATATGCATTATTTCATATAAACACTAAGTATTTTTTCTCATTTGATAAAACTACTATGAATTTATTTGTAAAATGGTAAAATTTCTATTTATATCTAAACACATTTTGACTGAAATTTATGAAAAAAATTCTTAAAGAGTTGGACATTTTTCGTAAAATTTTTTTTTTTTTTTTTTCTTCTATATTGCAATTAAATATTTTCTTCTTTTTCAGTTGTATTATAGTAGTTATTTTAATTCACTTTTACTCAATTTGATATCTTTAGGATGATATAATGCAATCTCTTATGCGTAATCGGCTTTGCCCTGAAGAGGAAGAACGTCGCAGGATTAGACGTGAACGCAATAAAATAGCAGCTGCAAAATGTAGGCAGCGACGGGTGGACCACACAAATCGACTAATCCAAGTAAGTTTGACATAATTATATCATTTTGTTTAAAATCAAATAAAGAATTTAACAAACACTTTGACAACTGCATTAGGCTTAGGAAAAAATAGAAAATTAAAATTTACTGGCGATGAATTTCTTACCGATATCATTAAATGGGTTTTAATAATATGCTCTACAGTACAGACTAAGGTAAACGGTACCTCCAACACAATAAAAATAAATCACAAGACTGATTGTATTGTATGCTACTATATATCTACACTTGTTTGAAAATAGCACTAAGTGCTTAATACTTTATATTCCTTGTCTGATGGGTCATCAGCTGGATTCTTTGTCTGAGATTTCCATGCTACATTTGTTTTTTAATAATTGAGAAACCCGTCTAAAAATCTACTTCAATAACATTGATAACATTCTTGTGAGTATAATTGCTTTGTTTTTTTTGTTTTTTATATCTATAATTGTTATTGCTTTTAATTTTCTTTGCAGGAGACAGAAAAGCTTGAAGAGGAACGTGCAACCCTGCAAGATGAAATCCATACACTGCGTCAACAGAAAGACCAGCTTGAATTTATCCTTCAGGCACACCGGCCCTTATGCAAAGCTCCAGCCCCTAAGAATACATTACATGACACTGCAAGTGCATTACATGACGTTAAGGTGAAGACTGAACGTGATTTAGTCAATTCATGCAGCGGAAATAATACTGCATTGCCAATAACTACAATTAAACAAGAAGGAAATGGAGATGGTTATTATGGTTATACTGCAGATGGTGGTAGTGGTGGTGGTGTTGGAGGTGGATCCTCACCAACTTTGATTTCTTTATAGGGATTTTTTTTTCTTTTCATTAAAAAATGGTAAAATTTAAAAGGGCAGAAAATGAGGAATTAATTCAATTTAATAATGAATTCACAAATAATATTTTTAATATGTAATGCATAAAATTATATTTTATTTAAAACAAAAAGTATGTATACTAATAACTTAAAATAATTAGTCATTAAAATTACCTCTATAATTTTTTTTTTAATCTATTAGCAGGTCTTTTATTTTTCTCTATAGTGAATTATTATTTTTTGTTCTTAAATTATATTTCTGGCTTACTTAAATGAAGAAAATGATTTGAAAATCTTTCTTTGTTAAATTAAATTTTTTTTAATTAAAAGTAATTAGGTTTGAATTTAAAAAAAATGAAAGATTGCAGTAATAAAAATGTTTCTAACAAAAAATAACTTGATTTTTTTTTTTTTTTTAATTATAATTTTAAGATTGGTTAAAAGTACAAGTGATTTTTAAAAAAAAATAAAAATAAATCATGGTCTAAAAAGTTTAACAAATCTTAAAACTTAAAAATTGTATTTAATAAAAATTTAAAGATTTATATTAGAAAAAATATCAAAAATCATATTGTATTTTATTTAAAGCTTATTTACAACTAGGAATGTTTAGGAATTTTGTAATTTCATTTCATTTTATATATTTAGGAATTTACATGAAAATTAATGATTGAAGTTTATTCATTGAAAATAATTTAAAGTGATAAAATTATAGGTGATATTTAACTTCTAATTAGTATTTTATTTGTGAGTACCATATTTAACTAAATTCTTTTTTCAAGGCCCCTCAATTACATCATCCCCAATGTCAATTTGAATCACAGTCATTTTTTCTTGCCAGAACAGGACATGGCAACACATCCACAAAATTCAAACACACTGCTGTTTGGTGATTGGAAGACATTTTCTTTGACAGAACAATTTTTTTTCACTTAGCAAATTAAATCAGCCTACAGTGCATTAAAGAAAGACATTTAAAAATATTTTAAGACTCTAAAATAAAATAAAAAGACATAATCTTTAGATCGTGAATTTACTTCTGAAATGACATTTTCAAATAATTATACAATTAAAATTTTGCATTGTTAGTAAGTTTTTATTTGGTACAAAGTTGTAATTTTGCATTCTGCATTTATATTGAAGGCAAGGTGAAAATAAACAAATAAAATTTATAAAATTAAAAAGAAAATGTTAATTTTTATAAAAACTTTAATAATTTAAAATCTTTATATAAAGCAATAAAATAATACCAAAAATCCAGAACTTGAATTTAGGTATACAAACTTAAATTTAAAACTACAAGCAGGAAATATTTTAACTTTAAAAATTAAAATGAAAGGAATTTTATAATTAACAACTTTATTTTTAAAAAACCTGAAAAAATATTTTATAAGAAATTAAATGATTTTAAAAACTTTGATAAAATTGAAGCAAGCTATATAGTTTTAGATATTTTCAAAAAAGATTATAAAATTAAAGAATTGATTATAAGATTTCAAAGAAGGGATTTTATATTTATAAAGACATTGCCAAAGAAAAATTAATTTAGGTAAATATTTATATAAGTGCATAGTAAAGTGTCTTTACATTAAGAAAATAAATAAAAAAAAAATCAAGAAAGATTATAAAACAAAATATTTGCACAAAAAAAAAAATTGTGGTTGAACAAAAGGTTTTTTGTGGTGGTGGTGGGGGGTGTTTCTTTTTTTTTTTTTTTTTTTTACCCTCCCACTATCTCTCTCTCAATCCTATAGATTTTACCTGTGTATTTTTTTTTTATTTTTTTATTTATGTGTAAATGGTACATATACTGGCCAGTGTGTGTGTTATAAGGTAAACCAAGAGAAAAAATGCAATGCATTTCTATACTTTGGTACTTTTGTATGTGAAGAAACGTATACCGAAAAAAAAATGCAATATAATTTTTAAATGTAGAGAGAGAGAAACATGTTTGTGAGTATTCAGATTTGTTGTTTAGCCTTTTTTTTTTTTTTTTTTTTTTTGTCTATAAATGCTGTCGTCAAATTGTCTTTATTCATGTGAAAATTTTGATAACACATCAAGTGTCTTTTCATATTATTACCTGCAAATGTTTTTCTATGACTTTTTATAACTGTCCAGTAATGTCTGTGTGTGTGTGTGTGTGTGTACATCTATACATACGCACATATCTTTTATATATACTTTTATATTTTATTTATAACTGTGCACATGCTCAGGATTACCTCCAATACATGAATAATTATTGCATAAATACTTATAGACATAGATACATTAATTCAAGTTGTGTTTTATTTCACTTCTATAGTCTAAAACAAGATGAAAATATTTTATTGCATAAAGTAAAAATTGTCTAGTTAATCAGAAATATATTCTTTTTGTTTTTATTGAAGCTAATTGTAATATTAAACAGAAAATAAACTTTCTCTGAAAATTAAATCTATACATGTGGTACTTGAAAAAATATTATTTTAGAAAAAGAGGATTTTTTTTTTTTAGTCTCCAAATCATTAATAACTACAGAAACCTTTTTTTACTTTTTTTTTTTTTTTTTTTTTTGCATTATTTAGATATGAGAAGATAAATAAATACAAGTACAAACTAAGATGTTTCATCATTGACATTCAAAATTTAATTTCTTTAAATGAAAATAAATAGAGAAAGGAAACATTAAGAAATAATTAAAATAAAATCTTTTTTGCCTTCAAAATCTTAACAAAAAAAAAATAATACAAATATTTAAAGTTTGTCTGAACTGAAATATTTAATTATGCAAGCAAAGAATGTCTACAGTAAAAAGATACAAAAAACAAATAAAACAAACAAATTGTCATACCAAGTCTATTATACTCTTATTTTATTTTTTTACATTCCATGATCATAGTGAATTATTCCTCAGATGTTTTTGTTGAGTGTTGCTCTAATTTGTATGCATTACACATATTCATGCCTGTGTGCATATTCTAGAATAAATGAACTTGATGTAAAAGGAATCACCTAACTCCAAAACTGGCTTATCACTTTTTAAGATTATCCCAAGATCTCTCTCTCTCTCTCTCTTCTCTCTCTCTCTCTCTCTCTTTCTTTTTCTTTTCTCTCTTTTCTTTTTTCTTTTTTTTTTCTTTTCTTTTTTTCTCTTTTTTTTTTCTTTTTTTCTCTTTTTTTTTTCTCTCTTTCTTTTCTTTTTTTCTTTTCTCTTTTTTTCTTTTTTCTTTCTTTTTCTTTTTTTTTTTTCTTTTTTTTCTCTTTCTTTTCTCTTTTTTTTTTCTCTCTTTTTTTTCTCTTTTTTTTTTCTCTTTTCTCTCTTTCTTTTCTTTTTCTTTTTTTCTTCTTTTCTTTTTCTTTTCTTTTTTTTCTTTTCTTTTTTTTTTTCTTTTCTCTTTTTCTTTTTCTCTTTCTTTTTTCTTTTTTTTCTTTCTTTTCTCTTTTCTTTTTCTCTTTCTTTTTCTTTTCTTTTTTCTCTTTCTTTTTTTCTTTTTTTCTTTTTTTTCTTTTCTTTCTTTCTTTCTTTTCTTTTTTTCTTTTCTTTTTTTCTCTTCTCTTTCTTTTTCTTTCTCTTTTTTTCTTTTTTTCTTTTCTTTTCTTTTTTTTTTTTTTTTCTTTCTTTTCTTTTTTCTTTTCTTTTTTTCTTTCTTTTCTCTTTTCTTTTTTCTTTTTTTTTTTTCTCTTTTCTTTTCTCTCTTTTTTTTTCTTTTTTTTTCTCTCTTTCTTTTCTTTTTTTTTTTTCTTTCTTTTTTCTTTTTTTCTCTTTTTTTTTTCTTTTTTTTTTTCTTTTTCTTTTCTTTCTTTTTTCTTTTTTCTTTCTTTTTTTCTTTTTTTCTCTTTTTTTTTCTCTTTTTTTTTTTTTCTCTCTTTTCTTTTTCTTTTCTCTTTCTTTTCTCTCTCTTTTTTCTCTTTTCTTTTCTCTTTTTTCTTTTTTTCTTTTCTTTTTTTTTCTTTCTTTCTTTTTTCTTTTTTTTCTCTCTTTCTTTTTCTTTTTTTTTTTTCTTTTTTCTCTCTTTCTTTTCTCTTTTTTCTTTTCTCTCTTTCTTTTTTCTTTCTTTTTCTTTTTTTTTTCTCTTTTCTTTTCTTTTTTTCTTTTCTCTTTTTCTTTTCTTTTTTTTCTCTTTTTTTTTCTCTTTTTTTTTTTTTTTTTCTTTTTCTTTTTCTTTTTTCTTTTTCTTTTTTTTTTCTCTCTTTCTTTTCTCTTTTCTTTTCTCTCTTTCTTTTCTCTCTTTCTTTTCTCTCTTTTTTTTCTTTCTTTTTTTCTTCTTTCTTTTTCTTTTTCTTTTCTTTTCTTTTTTTTCAAAATTTTTTTTCTTTCTTTTCTCTTTTTTTTTTTTTTTTTTATTTTTTTTTTCTCTCTTTCTTTTTTTCTTTCTTTTTCTCTTTTTTTCTTTTCTTTCTTTTTTCTTTTTTTCTCTTTTCTTTTCTTTCTTTCTTTTTTTTCTTTTCTTTCTTTTTTTTTTCTCTATTTTTTTTTTCTTTCTTTTTTTCTCTCTTTCTTTTTCTCTTTTTTTTTTTTTTTTTTTTTTTTTTTTTCTTTTTTTTTTTTTTTTTTTTTTTTTTTTATTTTTTCTTTCTTTTTTCTTTTGTTTTCCACATTTTTCACCTTTTTCTTTCTCAGGTCTTTATTCTATTTTCCTTTTTTTCTTTTTTTTTTCTTTATTTTTTTTTCTCATTTTTTTCTTTCTTTTCATTCAACATTTGTTATTATTTGAGCAATTATTTTTCATTGTACAAATGCTATCTTTAGTTTTTTCTCATTGGTATATGCTCATTTTTTAATGTTTTGAAATTTTTAAATTGATTGGTTAAGTCATTATTATTTCCATCTTATGTAAGTGACTAATATTTTTCCACATTTTTTTTTTAAATATAGTTGTTCTATTTGAATCATATTAACATTGTTTCTTTTTCTTTTAAAGTCTTAGAATCAACATCTTTCTTGATCTTAAAATGTCCATAAAAAAAATTAAAGCACTTTGTAATTTTCTCTGGTTTCATTATATGTTTTTTATCTACCATATTTGCCTACTGCTTCTTCAAGATATTTTGTATTTCTTCTTTGCCTTTCCTGGACAGGAGCCCAAAACAATTTTTAGTTCTATTTTTTTAAGTAATTTATATATTTTTTTTTAATTGATTAATAAAAGAAATAATAATATTCAGATTGTTTTGTTGTTTTGTTTCAAGAAAATCTTGTTTTGCTTCTATAAGTTGTCTTTCACTGATTGGACAGATTCACCTGACTCTATATATTAGTTCCTGTTTGGCTCTGTGTTGGACAAAACCTGGAAAAGGTCCAGCATCCCTTCAACAAAGAGACAGAAAGTAAAATACCACCAAAATAAAAAAAAAATTAATTCCCATTTTCAATATATTGGGTTATTATGTATTTTTAAAAATATGGATCAAGGTTAAATTTATGTTAAGATTATTCTTTGCAAATCATATAATTTTCTTTCATGATAGACTAATAGACCCTTCCCTCTAGCCAGTAAAAAATGACTCTCTATTCCCCTCATTTTTTTTCTATTATAAAGCCTTTAAGTATTTACTGATCTTATAATTATCAATAAGCATCTTTTATGAGTATTAAAAATAGATATTTATAAGAAAATTCCTTAATTTTTTTTTTCTCTCTAAAGATTCTTTTTGAGAAAAAATTTTTTTTTTCTATTTTCCATATCTATTTAAATATATATATATATATGGTTAGAATGTTTTCATTCTTTTCCATAAGACCAGGGTTTGAATCTCATATATGGTTGGATTTGTCAGGAAGGAATATTTATATTGATGTTATCGGAATGGAAGGGTTGATCACAGTGTGTTACACCTTTTTAAAATTTTTTAAGCTATAAAACGGGGTTGACCCAAGCCTTGTGATTGAAATTGGGAAGACGGGAAACTTGCATTTCTTCATCTTTTGATAGCTGTGCTAGCATTTAATTATTCCATTCTTTAAAGGGCTTGAGCATGCTGGGCTTGTTCAAATTATTGATCACGCTTAGATAACAACTCTTTTTCCCAGAAACTGTAACTTTTTTCTGATCAAAATAAAAAACAGTATTTAAACCAGATGTGATTCTATAATTAAATAAACACAAATGCGCCTGAGCAAGCGTCTGCAATAAAATTGCTTATTACCTTAGTAGACGGGTATCGTCAAAATACAAATTTTATTTTAATATATGTTTTTGTGTGTGAATTACAATATGAGATATTTAACTATATACTAAATATTATAAATATTATTTTTCATTGAAAAACTTTTTTCCCATGGACGAAATGATCATCTTAGTATGAAAAATAAAATTGTTTGGATTCATTAATTTTAATATTTCTATAATAAATTTTTTATTTCTCTCTTTTTCAATCAATTTTAAAATTTTATATTAATAGGATCTACTTCCATTACTTAAGATACGGAAAAAAGCAAAAAATGGTTGAAATATTTATTAAACTTTTTGTATTTTTACCAAGGCATGAAATAATAATCTTTTTTAATTTGTAAAAGAAAATTTAAAAAAATTTAGTATTTTGTTGGGTTCCTTATTTTTTAAATTTAAATATAAAAATTCTTAAATAACATACTATAGACTAAATTCTTTAAGAAAATGTCCGTCGTCAGATTTTCCAGCAAAAAAATTCAAAAAATTAATCTTCTAGTAAAATTCCTATTAATGGGCAAATTATCCATTATCGCTCAAAAAAATATTGGATTACGATCAGGAAAAAACTAAATAATTAAGAGTTTTATAATTAAACCCTCGTCGCGGTAAAAAAAAAAAAAAATGAACGCATCCATAAAATGACGATGAACAAAATATAAAAAATGTATTACATTTGTTGTTAAAATATTAACATGCCTCAGCATTAATCTGAAACTTCGAGAAGGGCCGAATTTTTTCTTTCATATGATTAAAAAACTGTCGAATAGAACGATATATGATAAGATTAATCGAAATGAGTCATGTGTCTGCAAGTTAATCAAAGAGAAATTAAACTGGAACATATAATACATTAGCGGATCTGGCTAACATGTTAAAAAATTTGAAACAAATTTAAGATAGAAACTTTTCTTTTTCAATACAAAAAATTTCGATTCAACAACAGTACAAGATGTTTTTTTGTAAGCGGCTACTTTTTTCGGTTTTCTTTAAAAAAAAGGATACGCAGGAAAAAAAAAAGGCATTGTTTCCAAATATAAAAAAAAAAATATTCGTATCTGGGAAAAAAAATCGACTGAAATATATGTTGGCTTGGTATCAAAAGCTAATTTACACTGGATTTAAATCTTTTTCAAAGATGTTATATTAAATCTCAGAGCCCCTTTTATCTTAAATATAAAGATTCAAATACGCGTTTGATTTAAAAATATTGAAACAAATATTTCAGTGAATAACAAAGGTATTGTTAAAAAAAAAAAAATAAAATCAACGTTTTAATTCCTGCAATTTTCAGCAAAAGGAGTTGGTAATTTGTACAAAATCAAAAATCAACATCAATACCACAACATTCTTTTACAGAAAAATATGAATTTAACACTTTTTCAAATTTTTACCCAAGGTGAAATTTGGTAATCCGACAATGATAACGATCCTAAGAAAATTTCAAAAATAATAAACGTTATTTAGAAGAAATTGATATTGGGCAAATATTGTAATACTTCCAGTGGCCTAGTCAGAAAAATATACCTTAATCCAATTGAAAAAAATTAAAACTATAATGGATAAAAATTTATAACAGTTTGCCCATACTAGGAAAGTTAACAACGATGATGAGTTTTTGTCCCTTATTAAAAAATGCTAAAAATTTGAAGGACGTTGACTTACTAAAAATGAATTTAGTCTATACCAAAATTAAGAATTAAGGCTATTAAAAAAAAGATATATGCAACAAAATAAAGAATCATTTTTTTTAACATAATGTAATATTTAAATTGTATTAATAAAAACAATTCTTTACAGATTAGTTGTCTTGGTAAAAATATATTTAATCGCACTTTCTGTAATATTTTATGCATTTTTTTAGCCTAGAAGATGTAGACAATTCAGAATATAAACCATCACATTATATTAGATATATTGATGACATTTTCTTATTATGGACTCATGGATCAGAAAAATTAAAAAACTTTTTTTTCACTTTCTGCAACAATTTCCACGATACAATTAAATTTACCATGGAGCACTCATATACATCCATCCCTTTCTTAGACGTTATGATAAAATTAAACAAACATACACTTTCTACCAGTCTATACAACAAACCCACAAACCAACATAAATTCCTGCACTTTAACAGCTGTCATCCTTTTAAATTAAAAAAATATCTATTGTATACAGCTCATTTCTTAGAACCAAACGCATATGCTCAGACCATTTAGATTTTCTATACAATATTAATAACTTAACAAAACAATTCCTAAAATGCAAATACCCAATAAAAATAATAAAAAAGAAGCACTAAATAAAACTATCCTGATAAATCGTAACACACTTCTCACATACAAGAAAAATAAAAACAACAATCGGATTCCCATGGTTTTTAACCACAATCAATATTCCACACACTTATTCACAATTTAAAAAATGATTACAAGAACCTCCAATTAGACAACAAGATCAAAGACATTTTCGATAAACCACCCATAAATGCAATGAAACAATCACCTAACTTATCAGCTATCCTCACCTCTACCAAATATCTAAACAATAGAAACCAAACAGGAAATTACAAATGTAACAAACCTCGTTGCTTAGTTTGCAAACATTTAGTAATAGCTAATACATTTTCCGTACCCAACACCAATATCAGGATACAGCCACCTAACCTCACCTGCGATACCCATAACGTAATCTATTATTTATTCTGCAACTTATGTCCTAATAGTGGATATATTGGTGAGTCTGGAAACAATTTTAGATTTCGTTTTAATAACCATAAACAAACAATACGTCAAAACAACCCTTATTCCCCCATAGCTAAACACTACAATCAATCAGGACACACATTAGAAAACTGCAAATGTTTATTAATAGATTCCGATTTTACTTCAACATTCACACGCAGAAAAAAAAAAAACATATTGGATTTTAAAATTAAATACACATAAATTAGGGTTGAATAGGGACTTAGGTGTTTTAAATCTTTATAAATATTTCAATAGCTAAGCAATTTCTATAGAAAAAAAAAAAAAAAAAAATTTTTTAAAATATTTATGACAGTTAGATTTAAGTTAGGAATATCTGAACAGTGACGTTCCATATCACGTGACGTCCGCGTCTCTCGAAGGACGCTACTTGCCAACAAACAGTAATTTTAATTTATTTGTAACAAACAGTTATTTCTGATGAAAAATTGAGGACAATTTGAAATATCAAATATATATATAAATAAATAAATACTTTCATAAAATAAAAACATTATAATTTAAATTTAAGTTAAAAATTTCGTTTTTCTTGCGTCAATGGGTGACTATAATTTAGTATGCAAGATTTGAATTTCTTTTTACAGTGAAAAACTCATTGATTTGGAAATTATTGCAAAAATCAAATAATTGTCAGATTTTAATGAAACTTTCTGGACTTATTCACAAATGAATGAAATAATTTTGAAATGTTTCTTTTTTAGAAAATGTTTTACAACTTTTACACCCCACTTATTTAATCTTATGAAATTTCAAGAAATTCTTTTTCGTAACATTTAATGCTTAGTTATAAGCACAAGTCCTCTGAGAATTTAAATTTATTTTTTCTGTGGGATCGCTAGTTATAGCAAATATACTCTGAAACATGAAATAAAAAATGCAATAAAATTAAAACTTTATTTAATTAGAAAAGTTTTTAATTTCTTTTATAAATAAGATATATTATGGACACTATTAGAAAGATATTTTTGATGATTACTAAAATTCTAATTAGAATAATTTACAGACTTTTAAAATTCTGTATTAATTCATAACAGTTAAGTGATATTGTTATTAAAACTATGGAATCCTCCATACTTGCCTGTCACCCCCTACGGGGAGATGCACTCTTCCCCAAATTAACCTTTAATTATTCATCACTTCACTTTTCCAAACTCAACTTCCCATTGGTTAAAAGGACACAAAAATGTAGCAAGTTGAGACAAATCCTTTTTTTCCGCGCAACTGTCTGGAGCCTATTTGAAAACCCAAAAATCTATAAGAAAGAATCGCTCGACTTAATTCAAGTCAGTCAGACAGCAGACTCCATGTGTGCCAACACACTGACTCAATAAGATTACCAGCCTCTCATCAACTCAACACAACTCGCACTACTATTGCCGCGTGAAGAAACTTAACTTACAATTTACTAAAAAAAATGACATTATCACTACGAAATAGTAATTGTACATTTAATCAACTTTAGCATATCAGTCAAAGGCACACAACTCTTCATAACTTGAATCAACACTTACAATCGTCACACACATACACACTATTATTTGAACTCACACAATTGACATTTTACCTTGCAGAAATCAAACTGTTTAATTTTCACAAACAAACTATCAACATTCATTCACCAAATCTCTGCATGGACACTCTTTGCAATTTTATCTCACTTGCCATGTTTAACAAGCAACCTATCATCACTTTAAATTCATGTTATTGTAGAAATCTATAACTACGTTGTTTTTCCTTGATTTCTTCAAAACTATAGTAAAAAACTATGTTTACTAATCATAAATGGAAAAGCCCACCAGAATTAAATGATGCCCACTCCCAGTATTTTAAAAAAAGAATTTTGAATTTATTATGTGTTTGTATAAACGTGTCATTTTGTGTAAATATGTATGTCCAAATGTGACATTATCAAAAATTAAGAGCTGTAATAATAGTAAAGTTAAAATGTATTGGTAATTTTCTAACATTTTCTAAACAAGCGTCTTTGTAAGTTAGACTATAAAGTCAAAGTACCTAAAATTCAATAAAATATTAGATTTCTTAAAATTTTAAAAATTACTGTGTATTTAAAAAGAATTATATAAAAAGGTGTTCGTTCACGTTATATTCAAGAAATTGTAACAGTTTCGTCCCCTTTAGAAAAAATTTTCAAACATAAGCCTGGCGAAACTAAGAATTATCAACAACTAAAAACACCTACTTTCGTGTTAGTTAATGCTTTTCTGCAATAAACCAAAAGTAATATTTGTTTCAAATCGTTAATTAAACTTAAAATCAGCTAGTCTTCCTCAAATACAGTTTCAGAAAAATATATTTTATTTTTTAAATGTTTTTTTTTTTTTTTTTTTTAAATAAAGAGAATTATGTTGTTTGATAGATGTGCCAATATGGACGATTTTAGCGTTTTTACTGATAATGATTTTTTTTAAAGTCTCGTTCCAGTCAATTTAAATTTTGAAATGCAGAAAAGTATTTTGCCTATTGTAAATACTAAATTTAATCTATTAGCTTGAAATTAAAACTAAAATAAAAGCCTTAAGAAAGATTTTTATTTTTACAAATGCATTTGAAACCTTAGGTATCGCTTTTCTTTGGAGCTGTGCTGTGCACACAAAAAATCTTCTAAAAAAAAGTGTTTTTTGGTTAAATCCTGCCAGCAATACAAGGAAAAATGATAATATAAGACATAAAACTGTCCTAATTTTTCTTTGTAACACTGTGGCTAGTATTGATTTTACAAGTACGTAAAATGTATTATTTCCAGAAAGAAAAATTTAGGCAACTTAGATTTTACGTAAACATTTTTTTAATGTTTACGTAAAATCTAAGTTGCCTAAATTTTTCTTTCTGGAAATAATACATTCTGTAAATAACACCCAGCTAAAAAGAAAAAATTGAGAGATTTTTGCTTATTAAAAAATAACGTTTTTTTTTTTCTTATCTGGAACGAAGGTTAAAGTAGAACAATCCTAATTTTTGCAAAACCTAGAAATAATCAATGACAAATAATGTCTCTTATACGTTTCCGTAGAAAAAACAGATAGTTTGAAAATACGTTTTAAACTAAGGAATCTAGCTAGCCAAAAGGCACAGAGAAAACAAATTTGATAGATGATATACATCATTTAATTATCTCTATATTCGGTCTAGTCTGGAAGCTTCTCGTGAGAAACTTTCAAATGTCCGAGGCCATCTGTTTTTTTTCTTCACAATATCTCTTTGTTCCGAATGATGAAATAACAAATTTCGATAATTCATTTTAATTTTAAGTTTCACATGTAGAGAAAAGGCGGATTTGAAGGAGTATCTTTCTAGTGGAGTTTTCTGATTGGCTGAGCGTGACTGACGTAAACGACTTGACTCCTTGTCCGTAACGGAGAATCGAGCCAATGAAATAACATTAGTAGCAGCTAGCCAAATTTAGGATAACGTTAGAAATGATTGATTAAGAAATAAAACCCATTAATCAAACATCCTGGATAGTTCTGTCTATGTAGCTTACTGTGAATTCTCAATATAGTCACTTTGATTTTTTGGGCGTCAGTCAAAGAGTTTTCGCAGAAGTGTCGATATAGTTGCAACCCCACGACCTGAACATCCGACAAACAAAAAAAAAATAAAAGTAAAAATAAAAAAAATAAACATCTAGTTGAAAAATTAAGGAGAATTAAGAAGAGAATTAAAATTTCTGACCGAATAAAAAGGACAAAAGTTGCTGACTACTTTTGCTTGAAGGCATGAAACCATAGTTTCCTGTCTTCATCACCTTTCCTCGCCACAGCGCGTTCTTCATCTTTATAAAAAATAGTCACTTCAGATTAGAATTTAGCAACTGGCCATAAGAAGACACAACAATTCAACCGGTGAAGAGTTTAATTCAAAGTTAAAAATCCGAATAAATAAACGAAGTGTTTATTATACTTTTAATTTTATCATTTTGAAATCCCTCTGTGACTAAGAGCATTAAACTTGACGGATGTTTCAACTACGCCAAGAGACTTCTTCAAGTCAGAAGTAAGTACGACACAACGTGGATGGAAAATCTAATTAACAGAGAGTGTATTGTTGTGGCGGACTTCACCACATTTATTTAACTTAGATTAGGAAACCAAACTGACGTGAAGAAAAAGAGGATAAGCCAAAGACATCATTACACATAAAATTTGTATTTAACAAGATGTACAAACAACGATGAGAAAGAAAAGCATGCATTGAGTAAAACAAGAGTTGTCTCTCTTTAACTATCAATTGTTCCAAAGTTCACTGAAAGCAATAAGGTTGTAATAGTTTCTGGTAATAAATGTTTTCAACAGTTTTGCTATGTAAGAAAAATTTTATGTGAATATAGGGAATATTCAGCATGTGAGTGGTGGTGTGAGTGAGAAGATAGGTGTATGGTTTCAACTGTCGTGGATTTCTGTGGCAGCTGAGATCTCACTGGTTTACTAAGAATTTTCTTTGCTTATATAAATAATCATCGGCTCCGAAAGCGCTGCGCGGGAAGAATCACTCTTCACGTGCAGACAATTTGATTGGCTTTGGGGAGACTCACGAAAAGCTTCTGGGATCCGATTCTCCCAAAAGTGCACGAAATCGACTACATGAAAATATAGCGATTATAAAATTGTCGCATTACACAGTAGTGTTGATTTACTATCCAATGAATGCTTTTGGTTGTATAATTTGAATTTGCATAAGTATGTATGTGTGTGATGATGATCGTCACATTGTCATATATATATATTTTTACTTGGATTAGTAATTTTTTGTACATGGATCAATTTACCAAGAATGATAATGATGTCATTGAGGGCATCTTAATCAAATGAATGTTGCTCTCAAAGAATAATGTTGTTAATTCAGAGAATAAAAAAAGAGTTTTTACCCTGTTTTATCTTTTGTTCATAATCTGTGAATATAGCAACGTCCATTAATGGGGACATACCTCTGTTAGCCATTTGATTGTCAATGTCAAAGTTTGCCAAATTGTATAATAAAATCAAATCTGAATCTGATTATTTAAAAATATTATTTAACTCTTTTGAAAGTTAGTCCTTTTTGGTTGAAGTATGTTGAAAAAATATTTAATTTCTGCTATAGTTATTCACCCGAATTCGTTCTTTGTTCTTTCTTTCTAAATTTCCTTATTTTGCTCTTACTTAACTTTTTCTTTCTTTCTTTCTTTCTTTCTTTCTTTCTTTCTTTCTTTCTAAATTTATTTCACTCTTACTTATTTTTTCCCTTTCTTTTCTTTTAACTCTTTTTCTCACTTTCTTTCTTTTGCTCTTACTTAACTCTTTCTCACTTTCTTCTATTCTTAACTCTTTCTCTGTTACTTAACTCTTTTTCACTTTTTTATTTTACCCTTAACTTTCCTTTCTTTTTATCTTTATAAATTTATTTCTAATTTTTTTCGCTCTTAATTTTCTTTTGTTGCGGGATGTACACGGAGTGAAATATATTAGAAGGCAAAATTAAGTAAGATGAAGGTTATGTGTGCTTATATCGTCCGTATCCCACAAAATATAGGTTATACAAACAATTTAAGAACAAATTGCTTGGCAAGAAACTACTAAATACTGTTGTTAAAGATTTAACATTAAAGAAATTTTTATATCAACAATAAAAATAAAATATATATGTAACGAGAATTACAATGTTTGCTGTTGTGATAATTAAGACAATGTCATAAGGAATGTTGTTAAGAAATGTTGGTACCTTTTGATTGTTAAGAAATTTAAAATGATTTGGTTTCTGCAAAGAAAAAGAAATTATGTGTTCGTTCATTTATCAGTGTGTGTACATGTGTAATTTACAAGTAAGAATAAATGTTATCAAGAGTTGCTTGTCTTTATTTGTGTAGACTAAGTTTGTGAAATATGCAATTACTTTTTAGTAGTGATATTGTTTCACTTTTCAAGTCAACTGTAGATGTTGGTTAACACGCGGACAATGGTTGATGAATGTTTGTTGAGATCTCAATGTGTTGTGTGAGTCAGTGAATTATCACGCGTGGAGTTTGGTAGCATCTCGTTGAACTCCGGTGGCTGACTTTCTGAATTGAGTCATGCGGTTAATTTATAGATTATAGTGTAGCAAAATCGGCTCAAAAGAGCTTGGCGGGAAATAAGATTCGTTTGGAATTTTGCTACACTTTGGTGCTTATTAACCAATAAAAAGATTGGATTTGCAAAAACGAGATGATGATTGGTTAAAGGCTTTTCAGAGAATACATTTTTTTCTGAAGGGGGTTAAAGGCTAATGTGGAAGATTCCACACTTTCTTTCTTTTGTCATTACTTAACTCACTTTTACTTAATTCTTTCTCCCTTTATTCTGTTCGTAACTCTTTTTTTCTTTCTTTCTTTTGCTCTTAACTCTTTCTCTCTTTATTCTGCTCGTAACTTTTCTTTCGTGCTTTCTATCTTTCTAATTTTTTTCGCTCTTCATTTTTTCTTTCTTTTGCTCTTATTTATCTTCTCACTTTATTCTGTTCTTAGCTCTTTTTCTTTCTCTCTTGCTTTTTTTGCTCTTAGTTAACTATCTCTTTCTTTTGCTCTTATTTAAATCTTTCTCACTTTATTCTTCTTTTAACTCCTTTTCTTTCTTTTGCTCTTATTTATCTTCTCACTTTATTCTGTTCTTAGCTCTTTTTCTTTCTCTCTTGCTTTTTTTGCTCTTAGTTAACTATCTCTTTCTTTTACTCTTATTTAAATCTTTCTCACTTTATTCTTCTTTTAACTCCTTTTCTTTCTTTTGCTCTAACTTAACTCTCTTTCTTTCTTTGCTCTTTTAACTCTTTCTCACTTTCTTCTGTTCTTTTCTTTTTCTTCCTCTCTTTTTTTTTTTTTTTTTTCCTCTTTTCCTTTCTTTTTAAATTTCTTTCTTTCTTTCTAAATTTCTATTTTTTGTTTCTTCCTAAATTTATTTCTTTGCCAGTTTAGCACAAATATCATCGGCTCCAAAAGCGCTGCGCGGGAAGAATCACTCTTCACGTGCAGACAATCTGATTGGTTGGCATTGACCAATCAGCGAGCAAGCTTTGGGGAGACTCACGAAAAGCTTCTGGGATCCGATTCTCCCAAAAGTGCACGAAATCGACTACATGAAAATATAGCGATTATAAAATTGTCGCATTACACAGTAGTGTTGATTTATTATGAATGCTTGTGGTTGTATAATTTGAATTTGCATAAGTATGTATGCGTGTGATGATGATCGTCACAGTGTCATATATATATATATATTTACTTGGATTAGTAATTTTGTAAATTGTGTAAATCGCAATTTTAGTTTTATTCACTACGTTCGAAGAAATGATAAGGTGTAAAAATCTAGAAAATCTTATTCAATAAGTGATAAATTGAAAACTATTGGACTCAGAAATAATTCAGGGAAAGCTCATTAAAAAACGAACATTTGTACGTGCTGGCCATACCTACCCATCTACACTAGCCTCAAAGAATTGATTAATACTAGCCAGGTGGTGTATTTGGATAAGAATTAAATCCGCTCAAACAATGAAAAAAAGATTAAATCCCGCTTCGGCTTACTATTCAATAAATTTGGCGCCGTTTGTTAGGTAAATGAGAACGCGTGGTTCATTTAAAAATCTAGAGCTCAAGGAGTACTGGTCTAGTTGCGGTCATCAGGTTCTGCGAAGCGACCCGGCAGTGACTTAACGTGGACCACCAATTTTATATTAGAGTTGACGTATTATTCCACAACGCATGATTTCAAGAAGAAACAACATGGTTTAAAAACATAACATTGTATTTATTTGTGTGTTGATGTACATGCGTAGAAGTTAAAGATCTGATGGAGTTATGTCTCTTAGACTAGGAATATTTTTTATCTCAACTCACAAAAGTTGGATTAATTATTAAACTGTAATTTTAGAAGAATATTTCAAAGAAAAAAGTTCTTGTTGCATGTTTGGAAATGATCTGTATGTTTGTAATGTAGGTTGGAAAAGTTCGTACGTACTTGCATGCGTGAATATGCTTTTAACGTCATGGTCGAGACGAGAACGCTAAAGATCACATCTTGGGCGAATGAAGAAAGGAGAAAGAGAACGCAAGCTTGTGTCTGCTATTTATAGATAATGTAATCACGTGACAAGATCACAGCAAATGGCGGGAAATTTGACTCGGTCACGCGCTGGAAAAAAATATATCGTGCGTGGGTGGATTGCAACGCCCACTTGTGTTTATTGACCAATTAGAAGCTTATATTCCCTGAAAATATTTACTAAGCTAAGTAGGCTCTCTGATCCACTTTTTTTGCACAAAAATGTACAAAATTTGACATTTATAAGAAAGTGGTAGCAGGATGCTACAAAGGCACTCAAAATATCTATTATAATGAGTCATGGTCAAACACTTGAATAATTCTTGAATACCTCAATTTGTTTATTTAAACGACAACACAACTGCTGTCCGATAATGTTGCTGTTTAAATCCTGGTGTCTTGAGACCTGCGCAGATTAGTAGAGAATATCGTTTTGTTGACTTGAGAAATTAACGCCACTTGAAAAATCCTTGCTAACCTCGTCAACCACAAGATGCCAGTCAGTCTCTCCTAAAACTTCGAAAAATACAAAACGCCTGAAATCGGTCGAACCAAAACGATACGAACGAAATACACTTGAAAGTGAAACTTGGTTTACGAATTTAATTCATTTCTGAAGGCCGTTCGTGATCTGGAATGTTCGCAAATCGAAACTATTTTCCATAGGAATCAACGTAAATTGGATTAACGCATTCCCGGACTTCCGCAAACCTCTGTTATCTTTGTTTAATAAGAACTGCCATTCTTCTTGCAACATCGGCTCCCTCTCTTTATTTTTTAGAATAGTACAGATCATTGATTTTGCCATACTAAAGAGAATAGCAAGATCAAAGACACTAAACACCATTTTCAAGTTTGGCTATGATTTCTGATCATTTTTCTTTTCTTTATCCTTTTTTTTTTCTTTCTTTGGTCGCATGGTGTCTTATATAATAATTTATTTTTAAAAACTAACAACTAAATTCAAGAGAAAGAACGGCGAATTCGAGCAAGGGTGTGTATGGAGAGAGAGCTACACCATAACTGACGTTCTCCCGCCAATACTCCCGGCTTGTTGCCCCACGTTGTTACCTGCTTATGTATTGCATGCCCGAGACACCATTTATCATCCGAGATGTTTTTTGTTCGGAAAAGTTGTGCGTGAACTAATTTGTTTCATGGGAATAAAAAAAAGAAAAAGAGTGTAGTTAAACTCTTAAAAACAACATTGCCTTCAAGAAAAGGTGCTACAACACACGACATTGGAATATTAGTGGAGAAACTAGTAGTTAATTTGTAAACAAAGTTACTATAAACAATTTTTTATATATCCTCTGCCAGTCGCAATGATGGAGAAAGCATTACCTCGAACCATGGCCAGTGAGACACGCTGCAAGAGCCACTCCGTTTCGAGAGGCTCGTCCCTTAATCGAGACGCAATCGCGCCAATCCTACGAAGGAACGCCATCAAACGAGGGCCAATAACCCCTGAAGTTTCCACTGACACAGGAGTGAAAAAAAAAATCTATCAGCAAGAGAAAAATATTTAACTATTTTTTTTTTATCTCTGCGTCCCGGGCGACGGATCCCGGCTCAACCGCGGACCTGATCAAATTACCTGCTGAATTTGTAAACTGTATGATAAGTGAACAATGAAAAATAAGAATCCTATTTGGGTTGATTTTTGTAGAGAGAAAAATGACCAACTCAACCCGACACATAGCAGTTCACAAACCTTCTTTCTTCCTTTCCTAAAGCAACCAATTCAAAATTTTGTATTGATTTTGTTAATCATCCCACCGTCATGCCAAAGCATAATTTAGGAGGATGTCAGGTGTACACCAATTTTAGAATGAACATTTCATACACTTTTATATTTAGCTTGTTTATTTCTTGCAAGTTATGCGTAAGAGAAAGAACGATCCATCCAGTGACATAAAAATTATTTTTAATAAAATAAAAGATAATATTAAAATTGTATAAGAAAAAATAATTAAAATGTTGTAATTGTGCAAAAGTTAATATAGAAACCATTTTAATAAAAAATATAAGTTTACCAATTCGGTATTTATACACTAATTACTTATGTTTTAATAGTAACTTTGATTTTCCTTTATCAGACTAATAAAGTAAAACTGGCAGCTGATATCCAAAATGACCTACAATTTGTTAACTGGGGCAAAAAATGGCTTGAAAACTTTAACGTCTC